AGGTAAAAATCATCATCTGTATCATCTAAATCATCCTGTATTTGTTAAAATTTCATCCTTAAAACTGTAAACAAAAAATATTAAGTTCAGTTATTTTGACCGATGTAGTTTTTTTCTAAGAGATAATGGTGATGCATTTCTGTATTGGAGACTAGATATGAGATACAAGATCAATGTTGTTATTAAATTACATGGAAGTTATAAAAGTATATATTTTATTTAATAGACCTATCCAGGGGGTGAGAGTCAACCTTTAAATTCATTCTGATCTGATTCATTGCCATAATATCATGATGTGATTTCATCCTTAACACAACCAGCAATGCATTTCAGGGCTTGCATTAACGGCGTCCCGTACATGTTAAGGACTCAAAAATAATTTGGAAATATTTCCGTTTTTTGGACGCAAAATTTTTTTTAGGTCACATACTACAATGTGTTTACAACGATACCTAACAAAAACAAATAATTATGATCTCTCACCTTTATTTGAATCGTAAATAAGGCTCAACATGTTGAATAATTACAAATAATCATGATTCTCTCGAATTTTTTCGACCTTGTTTATTTTTAGATTTGAAACCATGACACGCAACAGTTTTTCCTATTCAGAAACAAATATTAGGTTTTTCATGAAATGAAATGTATTCATTGTCGAATGAACGAACATGCATTTATTCAGTCCGTACTTAACGTTTACTTCCATTTTAAATTCGCGGCAAGAAATCAAAAACTGAAAAATAAGGGACACACTTTTTTTTCAAAGGACACACTTTTTAAAAAAAATTGCGTCCTTGGGACTCACAAATTTTCTAACCTAATGCAAGCGCTGCATTTTGTGGTCAATAGTTTGATAGTCAATTGGCCACACTTTCAACAAATGTTATCAAGTATTTCAAATAAGGTACAATGTACAAATAAGGCAAATTTCCTGAATTAAGGTAGTTATTTACATGGCTCCATACTATAATTAGGAGCAATGATTTGATGAGTGTTCAGCTTCAAGGTGGAGATAGGTAACACATTGCAGCCAGGTGAAGCTGTTCAAAACGATGCTGCAATGCAGACCAAAATGGAGGCAACTCCGACTATCGAGCTACTTCGTCTTTCATTTCCTCAAAATATAGGTATGATTTTGAAAACTCATGCTTCACATTCGGTGAACCACTGGACAATCCCTCAAGCTATGTTAATCCATAGAAACTTCTGATCAGGCATTTACCAGTGCAGTATGAAGAAATAGTCAACAGAAATGATGATTTCCTGATCCTATTTTGTAGAACTGTCTTCTAATACCAATTTAGGTGGTATTTTGCCACTCATGAGCAAATCTGCTAACAAAATTGAACTCGCCGGAAACATGGCACAGTCTTTTTCTGCAATATGGCAATGAGTCAACAGCATAGATTACGTTGTCTGGCAACATGGCCCAGGTACCTACTTTCTCTGAATTGTAAAGTACAACAGGGCAGGTCAACAACCCCATATCCTGAAAAATATCAGATATAATATGCTTTGATTATGTAATTATCGTACAAGATAGAACATCGGCGTCATTGCTGTCACCTCATTTCCATTTTTTGTCAATTACGTATGATGTCTGAACCCTTGTTGCCATATTGTGCTCACTGTGTTTCCAAAATATGCTTGGTATGCGACCCAGAATAGGTTAACAGGAGGCAAACAGTGATCACATTTTTGAAGATATATAGATTGCCATGGTGTTTATATGATTTTATAGACATGTGCTCAGCAACAAGTCAGAAACACAGAATTGAAGCTAGAAAGATGCCCTGATTGTCAAACTTCTGAATATGAATGACTTTGTGTTCCCAGATTATATTTCCCCGATTGACTAACTTTCAAGAAGCTTCACACAGACATACTTTGTAACGTTCTTCACTGAATGGTGTATGCTATAATAACTATAGGATACTCAAACTGTTGTAAGTACCTTATAAATAAACTTACCACCAATTCAAAGGTTTCTTAAGCAGCCATTTTGTGTCTTTACCGCGTTGCAGCCTTGTTTGGACAGACACACGTTACCTATCTCCACCTTGAGCTTTAGGACATTTAAATTCCTTGACATTACACTTTTGAAGAATGAGTCTTTTACTTTATATTGATACATAATTTTTATGGATTTAATCTATAACTTAGATGGGAGTAAGTGGTTACCAGTTTCACCACCAGGTGGCTAATTTGGGTCAGATAACTTGGCAGGTATATAGAAAGTTCCCTTAAACTTGAATATCCATCAGTTTTAGTTGTTCAATTATCATATTTCCAAAACGCCCCGCAGAGTCTATGACTACTGATAAGGTGTATTGATCCAATGGGGCATTTTGGAAGAGAACGGGGCATTTTGATCAATTTCGAACAGATGCATAGGACTTTTGGAAATTGCTGCGTTTAATGTAATAAATATGTTGATGCAGCGATGGAGGGTTGTAATGGGAGTCCTTGCGCAGAATATGGGGGAGAGTGATAGAAGAACTGGCGAGATATCAAGGATTGTGGTTGAAATCTCTAAGGATTTGCAACTTCTCACATCTAGGGACCAAAACACCGCTAAAACGAGGGACTTTGTAAACAAAAGCAATGTCTCGAGTGAAAGGTATTTCTGTGAAGGTTTTAATGGAACAAGTTTGAAGAAAAACGGTGTACTGTGAGACTCACAATCATTGATTTTCCAAAGAAAGGGTAGTTTTGAAATTCAAATTAATGGTTTTTAGGGGCGTTTTGGTTTCGATACGCCCGGTGAGTTAGTACCGCGTGAGTGTGCAAAAACTCAAAAATTCTCTCCTTCAGTTTTTGAGATAATCTGACTCTTAATCCCATACTATCCTATTCCCTTACTTTAGGATCAAAATGTTTTCTAGATTTAGTAAAGAAGTTGTTAATACCAACTTTTTGTTTGATTATGAAGCAATATTATGTCATGGTTATCTAATATAAAGATATATATAACTTGATCTGACACATCAATATGTACACTTATTGAAAAGTCATTTTTAGGCTATTGGGTAAACAACTACCTTAATATAAGAAGATCTGAGAGCATGTCACATATTCACTGTAATTAATTGCAAGCCATGCTTCCATTTGTTCCTAATACCATTCTCCTTGACACATGCAGAATATGCTGTATTCATAAATAGCTAATTCATTTTTTCTCTCTCGCTGTTAATAATTTAGCTAATTACTGTTCCAGGGTAATATTTCCTAAGAGCAATATGTAATTACAGGCCTCAAAGTAATCAAAGGAAAGGGAATTAGGAATCTTCAAAACAGTGTAGAATAATCCAGAACTAATAATAGAAGATCATTTTACAATGTTGCCTTTGTTTCCCTATTAACTTATCTATATGAGGTTTACTCTTTAACAGACCTCTGTGGTTTGTTGTAACTTGGCCCCAAGGTATGGCCTTTACATGACATATAATACATGTATATGGTATATACATGTACTGCATGTTAATTAAAAATGGTAAAAAGCTGAAAAGTTTGTGTCCATAATCATTAATAACGGATAACATTCATGCATGTGTTAATCCATCTGTCTGTCATTCGGTCTGTCTACAATTTTCAGACAAATGAAAATTGCTATTCATCTGAAACAATGCTTATATCCATGGGGATCTCAGATGCTGGTAAAAAATAGGAATATATTGTAGTGAAGTCCTTTATCCATCAGACAAGAATATATTTTAAGATTACTTATTTTAAATGGATTTTTTAGCATTGACTGAAATCTAATTAAACACTAATAAAACAATACCAGGATGTTTCTGATGTATGAAAAGAAATCAAATAAAGGAGGGGGAGTTGTTTGTAGAATGAATTGGGGGAGTTTTTCATGCATTTTGTTCATGTTTTTCATATAAAAAACATCAATACACTTTAAACATGTTAAAACATTTTATTGACTAAGATTGCACCACATATTCCCAAAAATATTTCTCATTTTGAAGGATTATCTATGGATTAACACCCAGGTATTTTTTTAACTTCAGAGGGCTGGGAATCATTGATAAGCAACGCTTTTGAATAATATAAATGCTTTTCTTGGAGGAATTTCCCATGTAAATCCAATGGTGTGGTTCCAAGCAGATTTTGAGATAACAGGAAGGTAAATCTTTAATACATACCTTATTGGGTTGTTTTTGTTTATATTGCAACCCAATACTGCATTGATGTTTATTACATAAAAAACATAAGCGAAATGCATGAAAAAATTCCCCCAATTCATTCTACAAACAACTCTCCCTCCTTTAATTGAAATATGATTAGTTTATTTACTATGGGTATAATCACAATATTCAGTGAACCATTTGCTATACAGATAATTAGAAATAGATAAATAGATGGCAGCACATGTTTTGGTGAGGCCAGAATACTATTCATAATATGGAGACAACTGGCAAAAATCACTTAATTTTTTGTGTATTTCTATTGGGATTTAAGTTAAACTCATTTGGCATGTAACTTATTTGTATGATCTTGTTGACATGTCGATTGTGATTTAATATTAAAATTGTGAACCTTAAAGAGTAAATGAACTTTTAGAAAACTGGAAATTTGAATAAAGATGAATAAAGGAAGAAATCAAAGTTGTTTTAATAGAAAATTACATACAAAATTAAAATATGACATCAAAAAGTTTGATCTGTAATGGTTAAATAAGCAGATCCCCCAAAATCTCATTAAAACAAGATTTCAAAACGATCTAGCAAACCATCTATTGAATAATGTTCACAAAGAGGACAGGAAAATGTTATGTAAATAAAGTTGTTTTTCATTCATGAAATGTTCAAAATGATAAATGGTTTGTAATTGATAAAATTGATAAATGTGTTTGTTCAGGGAATTTGCTACACAAGAGAGATTATTATTTTTCTAGAGTCAACTACTTATATCACAGGGATAGACTAATAGAGTAAATATACATACACATAAATTGTGTTTTGCATTTTTATGTATCTTGTGTTTTACAGCTGAGGTGCAGGCTTACAATGAAAAGAAAGCTGAGCTTGAAGCTAAAGGTGAACAAATGTGAGTAAAAGCTTTGACATTTCTTTTATTTCTATTATCATCTGACAGTCACTCATATTTAAATATATATATATATATTCAGTGGGATAACAATATGGTATACCTGGTATAAATATATTGTTTCATAAGTTATTTCACATTTATCATCATTAATCTCATTGCATATTGTTATCCCACTGAATGTAGGTTGTAAGGGGTATAGAGAAGCTACCTGTCCATCCGTTTGTCTGTCTGTCCATCCGTTTGTTCATTTGTCTGTCCAGTCGATAACTCAAATACCAATTGACGGATTTGGTTCAAATTTTACAGGCTGATGCCTTATGAGCATAGGATCTTTGCTCAAGAAGGAATAATCAATATGCTGCTAAATCCAAAATGCCTACTTTTTTTCGTAAACATGTTATTGGGACAAGGAATTTTCAAGATGGCCTCTGAATTTCTAAATACCTCCCATTTTTTATGTAAAATGTAACATTTTGGTAATTGAAGTACAGTTTATAGAATTTGGTCCAAAGTTTATTGGAGTATGTCTTGTGGGCTATTACTACCTCTGCATGAAAGCATCAACAATATACATAGTAGATGCTCATGTTAAAATAGCCACCATTTTTTGTAAAAATGCAATGTTTGATACTAATCTAGTAACTCAAATACTATATCTAGTAAATAGATTTGGTTCAAGATTTTATATGCTGAAGCCTTATGGACATAGGGCTCTGTCCAAGATGTAATTTTCAAGATGACTGCACAATCAAAAATGGCCATTATTTTTTCATTAGAATATATTCTTTAGGTTTTTTGATAATTCAATTTTCACATTTGATTCCAAAGGATCCGTACCCATTAGTGTACCTATAAGGACTTAGAAATTTACTGAAAATGGTAAAATGAAATTCCATAATTATTTTATATAATATGAATCTTTAAGAAATGTATTTTCAACAAATCACAAAAATAATATTTGAAATATGGTAAAAAGTTGTGTTTTACAGTGATTCTTAACACATCATTCTGACTCTTAAACTGAGTAATTTTCACACATTTTCACAAAATCTTGATTTTTGTAGATAAACTTAAATTGACTTGTCAGTATAAAACTACAATGTGTCAGAACATACTAAGCTTTACTTTGCTGATCAGTCATGCAGAGATAGTTCGTAATCCTATTGTTGTGAAAGGCACCCTATTGTGGTTTTCTTTTTAACAATGAATGACCTTCTCCAGTCACTTACAGATTGAGGTGCTTCCGCAGGTCAGACCCCCTTTGATTTTACCTTAATTGTTTAGTATTGACATTATTGCATATTTCAAACATGAAATAAGAGATGGTCTTGACTGCGGAAGATACACAATGTGAAAGTATAGCAAAAATTTAGTTTCAAAAAGGAGGCCATATTGGATCTGCCAGACAAGTATCAAATGTGTTAATCGATTTTTGATTTATCAGTCAAGCCTGCCTCTGAAGATGATGTGTTGAAGAGACACTGAATTAATATCCATTTAGCCATTAAAGGGAAATAAAATATTTTAAATAGAGAATCAAAAGAGTCAATCTACTCTTGATTCATCAGTCATGCCTACCTCTGGAAATGAAATGTTGAAGAGACATTGAATTGGTATCCATTTAGCCATTAAAGGGGCACTGCTTTAAAGGTAGTTCTCACCCCAAAAAAACAAATGAGTCAATCTACTTTTGATCCATCATTCATGCCTGCCCCTGAAGATTGTATATTGCAGAGGGACTGAATCAATATCCATTTAGCCATTTAGAGGAACACTTTTTGTAAGATAGTTCTCATCTTAATGAACACTAAAATATTTTTAACAAAGGAACTTATGGGTCAATCTACTTTTGATCCATTATTCAAGCCTGCCCCTGAAGATGATATATTGCAGAGGGACTGAATCAATATCCCTTTAGCCATTTAAAGGGACACTGTTTGTAAGATAGATCTCACCCAAAGAAACTAATGGGCACAACTAGATTTTTAACATTTGAGCTGAATACCTAGGTTTTGTTTTTTCAATATGTTGCCCTTTGTGTCATACCTTGAATAATGATGTTTTGATATACATTGAAAACTGTGTATACTGAGCATCTGTGAAGCCACAAAAGTCAGTATGTGGTCAGGAAGGGTGTCTGTTAGAGACAGGTGTTCACTAGAGAAAGGTGTTCACTAAGACAGATTTTACTGTATTGTCTAAATTGAATGCCTAGATAAAACTTTACTGTATACCAACTTAACTGAGGGGATCATGGTACTATTGCTGAGAACACCTTAATTAAAATTCATTGATATTACATTTTGAGGGGTTATTTTGTTGATTGTGTTTTCAATGTGTTGCCCTTTGTGTCATGAGTGGAGACTGAGATACCCCTGAAATGATATTCAGAATAATTTGCATGGTCAAACTTAAATGCACTGGACAACCTTAGTTTTAATCTCAATGACCTAATTTCATTTTGGATATGTTATTTTCAATGATTTTTCATTGATTGAATGGTCATCATACTTAATATAGTCCAGAGTGAAGACTAAGATACTCCTAAAATAATATCATTTAGAATGATTTGCATAGTCAAACTTAAATGCCCTGAATGACCTCAGTTTTAATCCCAATAAATGACCTAATTTTGTTTTGGATATGTTCAAAATTGATAAAAGTAACTATTTCTATGTTACTTTCAATGAAACCTTCGAGGGCATCTACTGGTGTACGACTCTGCTCAAGAAGGAATGATGAATTCGAATTCTGACAACACAAATTAAGAAATATGTGACAGACACATTATAAATGATACCAAATTCAAATTGGTATCTTAAGTCAACATATGTTGGATCCTAATTCACAGTAGTAACTAAAGGTTATGCTGCCAGAATTGTGTATGATAATGAGCATTCTAGTCATGCAATGTAACAATGTAGAATGCTTCTTCTTACTAAGCATCCGTATTATGTTATCTGGGATAAAATGCCTGTATGCGTAATGGAACATTGTTGATTAATATGGTAAACATGGATGTATCATTTATTTTGTAGAAATGTAAAGGAGATGGTCCGGCCCAGGATAGCATTGTCTGCTTGCTTACAGACTTTCCTCGAACCCGAAAATATTGATGATTTTTACAGTTCTGCAATAAATACAAAAACAACTGCTCAAAAGTAAGTGAACATAAATGTGTAATAAATAATAGCCAACAGGATCCTCACTAATCCACAGCAGGAATTCAAACTATTCATGTAAACGTGTAAAGTTCTGATTGTTAACAACTACCGAGAAATGAAATCTTTGAAATAAAGGAAACTTTAAGAGAACAGCTTTGCTGGGGATGATATTCAGTCAAATTACATTTTTTGGCAATGATATTATACTAACTAGATGTATTTGGAAAGAATATAAATTCAATGATGAATTGCACTTATAATTTTAAGTTAGTATTATTATCATCCATTGAGTAATTCTAAGTGAATCTGCTTTATTTTGAATTTCAAAATAGTTTTCAAATAGAAATGTACCAAGAAAGTTTGTATCTTCTAAAAGACTTAATAATGGGATAAATACTAACTGACTAATATTATAATGGAAATGCTTGGAGTTAAGTGCAAAGTGCATTCATTATGCACAGAAATTGGATTTGTTTAGGAGTGCTTCACATATATAAAATGTTGACATTCTGATTCTGTCCCTCAGGAAATCCTAAATTGCTGCCTGATAATGGATATCTGCATTTATTTCAAAACTATTGTTCTGATATTGCCTACAAATTTGTGCTCTTTGAAATTCAAATCTTATTCAATATTCCAATAAAATGTTTTCAAACATACGAGTCGTATATACTGTATATTTCTTTTTTAAATTTGCAGTACACCGTGGAGTTTCTGTTTTTTAGTTCTTCAATTTTTGAGTATGCATGGCGAAATAAAGTTAATCAAAATATAACTTCTTTTCAGAACAACAAAATTAGCCTCATTTCCAGACTACTTATTAGTGCAAATGAAAAAGTTTACAATAGGTGATGATTGGGTTCCAAAGAAACTTGGTAAGTTTACAATATGGGTTGATAAGTTACCTAGAAAAACATGATTCTATAGGATAAATATAAATATTCATTAGTTGTGTTTTTGTTATCTTGTCATTTTGTGTTCGTATTTGTTTTCATGCATCTCATTATATATAATGTCTCAGGTGCGTTACATATATTAATTGTATGTTAAAACAATTTGAATCTCTAACCCAAGCTGGCATCGGCCAATAAGTAGTATTTTCTCAAATCATATATGAGCAACATTTACGTAAATTATGAGACCCAACCAGTAGTACTGAAATAATGAACATTTCTTTTTTTGCTTTATTTTAGATGTGTCCCTAGACATACCCGATGAGCTAGATCTGAGTAGCAGCAGGGGTAGTGGACTAGCCCCAGGGGAGGAGCTTCTCCCAGAGGCAGAGGTATCTGCGGAAGAACCCCCAGGTCTCCTGTTATGCATATATACCTTCACACTTGCAATTTGACCTACTTTTGCTTTTGCTTATTGAACTATTTTTGAAAAGTGAAAGCAGAAATATGATGTAAATTGGATTGAGGTTCGCTTTACCAATCAAGGAAGTACAGTGTCATATTCATATAGTTTTTGGCTAAACTAGGCCTACATGTTTATGTTTTGAGAGAGGTTTAATGCATCCTCATCCTGCCTTGTAAGACAATATTACTTGCGAAACTATTTTTCATTTATTAAATCTAAATGACATGTAAATACCAATTCCTCTACTAAAATGATGAAGTTTCAAACTATTATTATTGGATTAAAGCATTTATTGCATCGTGCATAGCATCTATTTCATCACATGGCAGTTGTTTTATAATAATTGTGTTTTTATTATTCAGCTGTGCAGATAGATGAGGCAGTGGTGAGTCAGCTAGCAGATATGGGCTTTGCAGTGGAAGGTTGCAAAAGAGCTGTGTTCCATACCAACAATACAGGTGTTGAAGCAGCTATGAACTGGGTCATGGAACATATGGGAGATCCAGGTGAGATATTCATGGTTCATTGTTATAAGAGCTGTATTCCATACCAACAATACAGGTGTTGAAGCAGCTATGAACTGGGTCATGGAACATATGGGAGATCCAGGTGAGATATTCATGGTTCATTGTTATAAGAGCTGTATTCCATACCAACAATACGGGTGTTGAAGCAGCTATGAACTGGGTCATGGAACATATGGGAGATCCAGGTGAGATATTCATGGTTCATTGTTATAAGAGCTGTATTCCATACCAACAATACAGGTGTTGAAGCAGCTATGAACTGGGTCATGGAACATATGGGAGATCCAGGTGAGATATTCATGGTTCATTGTTATAAGAGCTGTATTCCATACCAACAATACAGGTGTTGAAGCAGCTATGAACTGGGTCATGGAATATATGGGAGATCCAGGTGAGATATTCATGGTTCATTGTTATAAGAGCTGTATTCCATACCAACAATACGGGTGTTGAAGCAGCTATGAACTAGGTCATGGAACATATGGGAGATCCAGGTGAGATATTCATGGTTCATTGTTATAAGAGCTGTATTCCATACCAACAATACAGGTGTTGAAGCAGCTATGAACTTGGTCATGGAACATATGGGAGATCCAGGTGAGATATTCATGTTTCATTGTTATAAGAGCTGTATTCCATACCAACAATACAGGTGTTGAAGCAGCTATGAACTTGGTCATGGAACATATGGGAGATCCAGGTGAGATATTCATGTTTCATTGTTATAAGAGCTGTATTCCATACCAACAATACAGGTGTTGAAGCAGCTATGAACTGGGTCATGGAACATATGGGAGATCCAGGTGAGATATTCATGTTTCATTGTTATAAGAGCTGTATTCCATACCAACAATACAGGTGTTGAAGCAGCTATGAACTTGGTCATGGAACATATGGGAGATCCAGGTGAGATATTCATGGTTCATTGTTTCAGACACCTTTAAATCAAGCTCTCAAAATCTATGCTCCCCTGAATGTGCAGTAAACTTGATATAGTAATAGAATCTCCTTTTACCTCTACACTTATATCAAATATTGGTGTAGAATGTTTCTTGTATCTCTCATGCTGTGAAGGCACAAACTAATGGCATAGATTTGCCAGACCACTAGAATACATAACCTATTTTTTGCCACTCTCCTAGATATGAGCTCATACAGTGTATAAGCTGTGCTGTGTATTGAGGCTGCGAAATAGTTTGTCTACCAGTACTAAGTATTGGCTAATATAATCTGGGTTATATATCCAGGTTGATCAACTGAACACAGAATAAAAATTAATTTAACTCCGCATGAATTCAGTACAAGTAATTACATTTTTTTGCTTTATTTCTTTTACCTAGATTTTGCTGCACCTTTCCAAGTCCCTGGCACCAAAGGAGCCAAGGCTTCAAGTGGCGTTGTTGTCAATGAGGAGGGTGTTGGTATGGTGATGTCTATGGGCTTTACTGCAGAGCAGGCAACCAAGGCGCTCCAATCAACTGTGAGTAATGCATTCAAACCAACAAGAAAACAATCTCATCATATTCAATAATCCAAATCAGTTAAGCTATTAAAGCATGACAAAATTAAAATAAAATTAAACATTTCTAGAAAACAAAAAAAATTCAAATTTTGCTTTGGGTTTCTTAGCAAACATGTGCTCGTGTTTGTTTATCTTTCCATATCCTGCAATGATTGGCATACAATTCACTGGATTTGTATCACAATTCACTGAGTTTGAATTAAAATTCACTGGGTTCGCAATACAATTTACTGGGTTTGTATTACAATTAATTTGGTTTTGCATTACAATTCACTGGGTTCATATTACAATTCACTGAGTTTGAATTACAATTCGCTGGGTTTTGTATTACAATTCACTGGGTTTTGGACCCGTGCGATATCGTCCATTCTTGATTCCCTTTGATATAATGTTTCTTTAACTCATCTTTGACTTAATAAAAAAGAGTTATCAAAGCTCATCTACAAGAACCCCCCTCTCTCTCTCTCAATATGTTTTACAATTTACTGAGTCTGTATAAAATATCTAATTGTCTTCAGGATAACAATGTAGAGAGGGCAATAGACTGGATATTCAGCCATGCAGATGAGCTAGATACACCCATGGAGACTGAGCCATCTGTTGCTGCCCAAGCTAATGTTCCTGATGCTGGGCCTAAGTGCAGAGATGGACCTGGCAGTGAGTATCAGAGAATGACAATAAATCTCTGTTATTTAGCATAGGCATTCTGATCATATGAAATGAAAGGATAACAGGACACATGTCTCTGTAATAATTAACAACACTGGACATCATCCTGAATGATTAGTTGGTCATTTGCACAAAACAATTTATATATTAGCATGATAGAATTCGTATTCTTGAGCCTGTTTTACTCCCCAGACCAATACATCTATGACAAAGATTCTGTAGATTAAATTATTCATCAAATGTTCAAGATATGATTAAAGTCCATAATACATGTACATGTTAAACATTTCCCCTTGAGTGGTCCTTTTCCCTAATGATTGTTTTTAATATTTGTTCTGTTGCATTTTAGAATATAAGCTGGTTGCCTTCATAAGTCACATGGGAACATCAACACAAGTTGGACACTATGTATGCCATATCTTAAAAGATGGACGCTGGGTGATATTTAATGATGAAAAAGTAGCACTCTCAGAAAAACCACCAAAAGATCTTGCATATATTTATGTCTACCAGAGACAATAGATGAACTTAGGAAACTGATGTGAGATCTCATGGAAAAGTACTTTAAATGAGCCACAATTAACAGTTTATAATGTAAACATGAGGACTTCAAGATCCGGGATCTCGTGGAGTACATTTGACAAAATTAGAGATTCTCAAGACTCATTTTGAGTGCAAGCATTCACATTTTCTAAACATCAAGACTAAAATTTGTGTAGAACAAAAAAAAGTGTCTCTAAGATGGATGAAAACATGGATGGTAGACTCAGTCGTATAAATTGCCAAATAAAAGTGTGCAAATTTCACCTTTTGTACATGTACACTTTTAAATATTCTCTTGAATAAATTATAGCTTTTTCTCGAAAATGCACGTTATTTAGTAATTAGGCCTATAGATGCCTGTACTCAATTATGTTCACAACTAGGAAAATTCATGGACCCAAAGTACAAACTTTGGACTTAACAGATGAAGAGATTCTCAAAGTTCACATGGTATATCACATGATCAAGTTATGTAGAATATAATCAATACTGGTATGTCAGTTTTTCTTTTGGGTTTCTTCAGTTTTTTAGGCCTATCACAAGAACACTGGAGCTTATTATCCCACCAAACAAAGTCATTTGGGGTATAGAGAAGTCATTCCTCCCTATTCGTTTGTCTTTCCAGGTGATAACTCAATACCTATGCCCATTAGGCATTAGCCAAGGAACTCTACTCAAAAAGGAATTTTCAGTTTGTATGTTCAATTAAAAATGGCCACCATCTTTTGTAAAAAAAATACTATTAGGTAAATGCCAGTTGACTGACTTGGTTCAAATTTTAGATGCTGATGCATAAGGGACTTGGACATTGGACTAAGCTAAGAAAGAATTGTCAATTCAAAATTCATGGAAAAATGTAACCTTTTTTTAATAACTTAATACCTGAGTTACAGGATTTGGTCCTGATTCTACAGGCTAAGATCATACACAGATATAATAGGCATTTAGAATTTCTGTTCAAGAAAGATTTCCAATTTACAATGACTGCCTTTTTTGTAAAAAATTTAAATTGCTGGAGGCATGCATTTAAACTTAGGCTTCATTATTTAAGAAATATAGACCGAAGAGCAGGGGTAATATTGTCAAATACACCCTGCAGGGCTAGGCACAAACATTTTCGAAAGCTTTTGTGCCTAGACCTTAAGGGGTGTATTCAACAATATTACCCCTTCCCTGAGGTCTATTTTACGATTTGAACATGAAATCTCACCAAAATGTTTCAAATATTCATTAACGTCCGCCATTACTACGACCCGCCGTTATGACGTCACACATTACACATATTATCAGGGTTATTTCTTCTTGAATATACCCCGGGTGAAATGTTGACTTTGTTTACAGTTTATAGAAGGCGTGAATACAGTTATGTTCGAATCCATGATATGACTCAATAATATTCCAACAGAAATGATATTTTATGATATCACTTGCATGTGGTTACCAACGCTATGTTTCACAAATCAACAAACCAAGAGATTTGACTTGATTAGTTTTATTTACATCATTAACATGATCAATTAAATTATTACATATAATAGTACAATAGCGTGCTAACTGGTAGTTTGGGAATAATTTTGTCCACTGAACTATACATACTTCAGGCCCAAACATTATTTTAGTTCTCTCTTGAATACTCTAAGCTATATAACTTTATTTAAAAACTGATGGAAATATTTACAACAGTTTATAGTATTACGCTGTACATGTAGTTTGTAGTGATTGTCCATCTCAAGTAAATAGCCTACATACTATCAACATATTTATATTGCAATTTGTACATAAAACAAGTATTGAAGATATAATAGACCCTTTATATAAATGCAATATATACTTTAAGTGACATTCACTCATCCACAGTATACAGGTATACAATACACATGGCATTCACATTGTCGTGTGTCTCCAGACTTATTGCAATTGAAGTAGTAATTGTTCGACAAATAAATAATGGACCAACATGACAAAGCACTCTCATTTCTTTTAACTCAAGGAATGAGTTCTGTGACTTATGAACAGAGTTATGGGTATAGAATACCAAAGATATGAAAAAGTGTGAAAGCAATAGAATACCATTTCTTAGACTGGTACTCATACATTGGCAATGGTCAAGCTACAATACATGTACATGCATCACAAACATGTCACCACCTGTCTTTTGTTACAGGGTCCCTGTAAATTGCAACCAGACTCCTGAGGACAACGCAACCAACTCCAATTGTTGCTACAAATAATAACTTCCATTGTAACCAATTTTAACCAATAAGAGCCAGGGTCACTCTGAGCCTGGTTGCAGTTTGCACACTTCCTTTGTTTTACACAGTGACTGCCATTTGTTAAAGATGCCGACCACCAAACACTGGCCAATAAAAGTTGGAGACGTAACAATATGTCACATAAAAACACATACATTCTGAGCTTATTTCTCACTACATGTAATTGCATTTATACAGGTTAAGACAATACAAAGGACTAAAAACTAACATGATCTTTTAAACTTTCACCTTTGGTCTCAGAATATTGCAAAAAATAAATTATAGGTGACTGCACCTTAATGTTAATGGCAATGTAAAATTCACATATTGGGCTGTATGAGGGGCATCTCATTGGTATTTACTGACATACATTTTACAGACTCATGATTATCTAGTCTCTTCACCCTATCACCAGAGATAATTCACCAGGTCTAATTAAGACAGTTACATCATATTGTGTTAAGTGTTAACATGGTTTTATGTAATATTATGATGCAAGCCATTGTTGAACTGCAGGTCCTACATCTTGTACTAACTGTGCAATCAACTCATACTTTTCAATAGCATCTTTAGGTACACTTGCAATTAGTTCCTGACACATGTCTTTCAGCTTTTTATCAGGCTGCTTGCTCAGTCCATCTTGAGCATCCTTAAGACATTTGTATATGATCCGTAGCTCTTCAGTTTCGGCTGCCTGAATGATTCCTTCTCTCTCAAGCATGTCGGAGATGGTGAAGACATTCTCAAAGTCTAACATGACATCATCAATGGATGTTGCTTTGAGCTTTGTAAGAAGCCAATTGAGATTACAGAACATATGCTGTTTAACATGCGTGAGCCCTAGGACAGGAACCAGAACACGGCTATGTATGGGTAACTTGAAGAGCTTCCTCAGGTTAACTGCAGATGTAGGTTGTGGCATTGTGAAGTCTGATCCTGGCTCACAGAACATGTCAACAAAGTCTCTATGGAGTGCCAATGTGAAGTCGCAAGCCTCCTCTGTGATACTACTCTGCTCCTGGCCTGGATATAATATATTCAGTTCTCGGGAAACACCTTCCATAAAGCTATGGTGAAACCATCCATAGACCAGCCTTCCATGCTCCATGTGCCTTATCAAGAAGGGATGCAGGTCCAGCATCACTTGGGAGAGAAATATTGAGGGCAGATGTTTCATGGGAGTGTTTCGCCCCTTTGATATTGCATTCATGACATCACTGTTGCGTGAGAGGAGATCATGTAGTTCTACTTCGCTAATCCCTTCTCCTGAAATGGTGATGTACGCCATTGTATATTTCAACACTGTAGCATCATTGCTTTTTTGCAGTCTTTTAATGAGGACCTGAATAGATTTCTGTAGAGTGGAACTGAATTCCAGATTTTCTCCACTTGATACATCAACTAGGTGATGTGTCAGTAGCTTCAGATGTAGAAGTGAGTGAGAACTCGCAGCCTCTAGCAAAGCTTCCAATTTCTCCTTCTGCATAGTCATATTGGTGTTCTGAATCACAGAGCTCAAGATTTTCTCCTTCTCAGCCTTTGATAATGGCTGTACTTCTAAGTATGCCTTAGCTTCAGGTACCTTCTTCTTAAGTTCTTCGATGATATCAATGGACCCCATAGATGATCTTGTTGACAAAATCACTCTGACAGTTGGTGGCAGATCTGTGATAACATTTAGGATATTCATGGCCTGATCCATAGGGCTCAGCTGATTAATGCCATCTAATAAAATCACTAATTGTTTATTCTTCATTGCCTCATCTCCATAGCCTAGATGATTAATGAGCTTCTTCAAGTAATCAGCCATACTCTGAAAACTTGTTGTGTCCACTGTGATTCCAGGGAAGGGGATGGGAATGTTGAAAGCCACGTGTATTTGTGTACACAGACTCTTCAATAAGTTGATAACGATTGAGCTGTCTGAGGTTAGCCCTATGAAGCGTAGTAAAGTGACAGTTCTTTCCTCTCCTAGATGAGTGGGAACAAGCTGAGAGAGTTTTGCCATCAGAAATGACTTTCCAATCTCTGGCAGACCATGAATGATGAGAGGATGTTTTTCTTTACTGTTTAGGTAAATCTTAACTTGTGCTATGATTTCAGCCTGCTGGTAGAAGCTTTCACACATCACCTTGGCAATGCTAGTATGCTGGAGCACCTCCATGTAAATTGGGCTAGTCATCTGACCAGCAATTTTCATCACACTTGACTGGATTGCAGTGGTAAAATCTGACAAAACATCTTGCTGTATCTTCTCTAAATATTTCTCATGATCTTTATCTTTGATAGAGATGCCATTTTTGCTATATGGTACAGTATATCTCCAGACCTTCGAAGTGTTGCTATTCTTCACATATTGACGAAGATCATCCATGTTCTTTTGCTGAATTTTTGTTGTATTCTGATCAGTGCTTACATCTAGCAAATCTGGGTTTTGCTCCTTATTATCAGTATCTTTGAAGTGGCGCTGGTATACATAGCAGCCTGGTGTATTGCTGTGGAGGGGTAGGGCCATGTGAATTTCATTCTGAAGCTCTGAAATCATTGTTAAATCATATTGTGAAATACAATGTATGAAAAGCAATTATTGAGCCACATTCTCTATAATTGTGGTTTTATTGTAGTCTTTAACTTAAATGCTGAATACATAATGCCTCTGGAAGCACTGAAAGCATGTTTCTAAACTTTATTTAGATAAGCAGAAAATTGGAAAGCAGTTTGGTTATAGGATATCTGCTTGTACCTGATGAGAGGTTGTGAGCCCCTATCTCTTGAAATGTGTCATATAGTTTCTGTAGCTGTTCCTCGGTAAGGTTTTCCTGAAAATATTACAAGATTACTGCTATAGCAACTGCTATATTGTTTATGAAATCTATATATTTTCATGTATTCTGGTATTCAGATGATCAATCACAATATTTTTTGCAATGGTTGCAATGCATGGAATGTGGAGCTGGTTACAATACATTCTTTCATAATGCATGTTGTTTAAACCTTGCCTTTGAATATGAGATAACAATACTGATATTACATATGTACATGTACACATTAAGCAATCATGCCAAGTCAGTACTCTCGTCATATTGTCTGTGGATTAAGTTCTTCATTTTCTGCAGGGACACTGCATCTTCTGTGATCTCCTTCAACATGTTCAATGTCATACTGTGTTTTACTCAATTTTGAGCATGGGACAAGAACCAATCATATTAATTGTTTATGCAAAGTTGCCATGCTTACATTGAAAGGTCTGCCCGCCACATAGGTATGTTGAACATGTTGAAGCGCTAGCACTGCTAGGGATATTTTTAATTGTTATATTCTAATACAACCTCACTGACACAGAAATTAAAAATTATTACTCTTACATACTGTTTACAACTTTGTATTACCTTGAGTGTGTATGTTCCCATACCAGATGAACTCCCTTCATCATGTATGTAGCACTGGAGAACTGTGTCTCTCTTCTCAAACTGGCCTGTCTTCATCTTGACATATTGGGACTCTGAAAACTGGTAGGGAACTTGCCATGATCCATATTTGTCACCAAGTAGCACCTGCAACAAATCAACTAACCCTCAGTTCTAATTCTTTTCTATGTGGAAATATCCCTGAAAATTTCAGATGAATCCCTGGAACCGTTTGGCTTGAAACCTGTAGACAAGATTTATTGAGACGCCCACCCGACCGACCGACTGACCACCCACCCGCCACACTGATCACAATATAGCACCCAAGGGTGCGATAAAAGGTCAAATTCTAACTTACTTCAAATTGAAGAACTCTTTTCTTAAACATCATCTACACATTGCTAAAGCGTTCAAATCTGAGATATGACCTTTAATGGCCATCAAAAGGTATCAGTTTGAAATCAGTTTTTGGATTAAAATTGAAGTCAACTGGATCAGAAAATATGTAATATTCGTCTGAAAGAGTAAAATTTTCAAGGTCAACAGGGGCGGATCTGGGAAATCAGAAGGGGGGGGGGCAAATTTCAGGTCAGAGAAAAAAACAAAAAACATTTTGGGCCCCTAAAACACAAAAGTGGGCCCAAATTTTGAAATTTTGAGGCCCATTTTCTTTAAAATTTGGCCTGAATTTAAAAAATAAGGCCTTAAAAGGCCCAGAAATGACCAAAAAGGCTGACTTTTTGGGGCCTTAAGGCCTTTTTTGGCCCAAAATCTTTTTTGGGCCCAATTTTTTTTTCTGGGCCCATCCAAGGGGGGGGGGCCCGGGCCCCCCCCCCCCTAATCCGCCAGTGGTCAATGTCATCAAACTAGGTCACAAACTGTGTATTATTTTTGACTTAGTAAGTATACATTCTTCGCAGCTTCTATAAATATTAGTTATTGATTATCTGTTCTGAGAAAACACAAAGGGCATTATTAGAAAACGAAAATTGAAATTAACTTCACCAATATGTATTATTCTTTCAATAGAAAGTTAGTAAATTGTCTATTTCCTTTTCAGCTACCACAAGAGAATTTTAATTATTAGTTTATCGTGAAAGGTTTATGATGGATCAATATTGTCACACCACTACAATTACTTACAATCTTATTTCACCTTATAAATAATCAATAAATCTCATGATTATTAATTAAAGAGATAGATGCAGTTCAATTTTTCAGCTGATCTGTTATATTATTTCAATGGGATCGAAATGTAACAATCAGGCTTGTATTATGCCTTACACCCCAGTCACATTTGTCGCACGGCGGCCGCAAGTCGACCGCAGAACAATTAAATCGGTGAATTTCTGCGGCGAGCGTAGAAAAACTACGCTCGCCTTGCGGCATCCATACGGCGTATCCAGTTTTTTACAGGCCGCAGGGTCGGCGTAGAAATTATAAATCGGGGTTATAATATTTGTTCATTTCTGAGGTCCCCGTAGAAATCAACTGGCTCAACAAGATTGAATCATTATTTGTCAATGTTTCACGATCACTTTTCATTTGATATTACATCCTAGCACTATGAATAACATTTATAAATTGTCCTGATGTAAATAAAATGAAAAAAAGTATTATTTATCAACAGAAATTTAAAATTCGCCGTGCGGTTGCCATGGGAAATGTGACTGCAAAAGTATGAGAGGGCAGAAATTCCACGGCGAGCGTAGAAATGTTACTGGCCGCAGAAATGATAGGCCGCACGGCGGCCGCAGGAAATGTGACTGGGGTGTAAGTCCCATTTGCTGTGAATTCCAATCAAGCATCTGGTCAATTGAGTATTTTGTTCAAAAGTGAAGCTGCTACTGCCCTGCCCTCTATTGTAGAAAAAGGTAAACACTAGCATTGTATCCTTGACTCAGAAACCTTCAATTATATTGATTTTCAGAAATGGCTGACGAATGCATCAACAAACAACATCACTCTACTATACCTAACACCTAGAAATGCATAAGATACTTTGTCTAATTGTATTGTTTAGTATATTGTTGAAAGTTCCTTAGTAACACCTAACATTCAACCGATAAACCATTAATAAGGAACAGATAAATAAAAACAAATACATAATCATTACTAATAAGCCAAATGGGTTGCTCATGAACACCAAATGCAAGGTATAGTAGAGTGACATTCCTTGGCACTATAATTTATTTTGTGATAGTGACATGGAAGTGAACAGGAGAAAAATAGAAAGTTAGAAAAGTACAATTACATTCATGAGTGTTTAGGGCATGTTAACTAAATCCTGGAAGGTATTGACAGTCGCATTCTTTAGCTAAATCTTACATCTACATGTGGTATTCAGAAACTAGATGTTGGAAACTTGGACAAATAAAGGTGATGAGCAAGATGGGTAATTATGTGTCATCTCTGAAATCTGAGGTTTTCCTTCCTCTTAGCAGAGATGATAATGCCTATCTGGTATCAGGGCAATAAAATTTTCATACATATATTTGTCAACTTGTATTTGAGTTATTGCCCAAATAGAATAATGGGAGAAAGATCAAATTGATGGACAGATAAACAGTTTCTCTATATCTCTACACTACTCAAAGTTTGTTCAGTGGGAAAACAGATGTGATGAATATAACAATTAAATGGGACAAATCCTGAACAAACGCAATGATTTACCTCCCTAGTTTAAAAATCATTTGAAGTTCCATTTACACCTTCCCCATAGTTGAAAGCCCATGCCTTCCCCATAGTTGAAAGCCCATGCCTTCGCCAACCCATCAAGCTGATTGTTAAGAGGGAAGCCCTGTAGAATGCCAAGTATTGATTTCAAGTCAGCAATATATTGATTCCTTCATAATACCATATTGGATCAATTTATACTCTTGTATTGCAGAAGTACTTAATGTTCAATGTATCATTATGAAATCTACACTCAAGAGTAAATAAAACAATAATTCTGCATGAATCGAAGTAATCTTTCTTGTTGTAATTGACTATTGACAGCTTACTTCCTAACACGTAAACTAAAAGTTCTTCAACTTGTACAGTTGCTATGGACTTGTACAGTTGCTATGAACTAACAACTTAAAAATATAATGGTCTAGTCTAAAATACAAATGAATTTCCCTGCAATTTATTTTACATGGTGCCATACAGGGGACGTGTAATGAAAAACCAGACAATTATGAATTCAATTGCTAAGCAAATAATGTTAAATTGCAATACTCAAAAAACATCTAGGTTTACACTATATTTCTGGCCACTCATCTATAATTGACTTTTTTGAAAACAAGTTCAGTATAATTTATACGGATTGTATTTTCACTGGGTTTGGAATTTTCCTTTGATTGCCATCTTGATTTTCTACACATTTTGATTTTGACATTTGAATTCTATAATACACGTACAATTAGAGATAAATAAACAGAACTTTTTGACTGGCCCAAGTATGTTAATAATATAAAAATGGATCCCCTTCATCATAATTGCTGCAATCATGAAAGTTGTTTTCTCACGCAATTTTTTGCATGCTAAGCTTGCTGTACGAAAGAAAACTATTTTTCAAATTTTTGATGTCATATTATTGGAAATGAAATACCACAAAAAGCAAAACATGATAAGTTGCATGTGGTTTCATAATTTCAAACCAAACATCAAAGCATTCTGCTACATGTAGACACTGGAAGCACATATTCCTTCGCAAAATTGTACCTTTATTGGAATGCGTTCCTAAATAATTTATACTTGAGGTGAAAATTTAATATGTCTTCTTTTTCTTATTGGTAATTTTTGTTAACTAATTTTAACTAAAATACGAATTCTATGCTTTAATAATATTCTAAATTGGTTTTTCTTCAGGATAATACTAATTCATTGAAGATATGATCAAAAAGGAGAAGATGTAGCAATGCTCATTTTGAAGTTTTCATGTTTATAACCCTTACAGAGTAGCATAAACTCTTCTCTTGAAATCCCATACAAGTATTTTCAGAGTTGATCAGTGCAAAACTTACCATGACAAATGGACCAATAGAGAGAGATCTACATTGCTGTATCTCATGTCGTCCAAGATCAGCGGAGTATAAGTCACTATCTTCTCTTAGGTCAACAACATTCAACTCGAGGCCATGCTTAGCGCATACATGACGTAGTTGAGGGAACACTTTGTCTTGGAGCATGGCCCTCTCAGCTTCAAAATCTGAAATAAAGCGTACAGAAGAATAAGAAATCAGCAACTCCATGGAGTAGCAAATCCCAACAAATACTATATTCATGAATCTGTAAATGTCACAATTGTAATGGTTAAACTGGTAGACATTAAAAGACATACTATATAGATTTTCCATTGATTTAAAGCATTTGGCAGTCATTTTAATTTTTCTCAGGAGGTATGAATTAAATCTGAATCAGAAAAACAATACTATAATTGTGGTCTACTAAAATTCCTTCAAATTAAGTATAGCCAAACTTTGAAGAGATCAGAAAATTATTGTGTAATCCCACATAAGGCCATTTTGAATTTACGAGGGTCAAATTAGAAAAACCATATAATATTTGCATTTTAAGGAAAATCCTTGATCCCCCATACACAGCCCTTGGGGGTCAGGCTGACAAACACGGAATAGATGTGAAAAAGATGTTGTGAATATACTTCCAAAATTTCAAACAATAATATGTTTAACTTTGGTTTAAAATGGTAAACTTAAAACTTAAATTCCGCCGTGGTGGCCATCTTAAAAAATTATTTTGCGTAAAAATATTCACCAATATAGCTCTTTCCAGTACTAGTATTCGAGTAATCTTCCGGTCAGACAGAGGGACATTTTGCCAAATAATAGAGCATGCCATAAGAGTTCAAGTTCAATTATAATTCATCTCCAGTACTACTTGTCAGTGTGTAAGCAGATTAGATAGAAATACAATTTAACATTATCCAATTCTTAGTGGTGACATAAAAATAAACAAAAATTACCTGTTCCCCCAGTTGACAAATATATGCGAACCACGTTACTCGGGGTGTTTGGAATGGAACTGTCAAGGTTTCCCCTGTAAACATTTTGCGCATGATCCTGGCCTTGAACTTTCTCATTCCCTATCTGTGGTAACACCTTCTGATTTGGTGCAAACTCAACCTTGTTCATCACCTTTGGCAACCTAGAAATATACATACAGCACATGATTATGTGTTATACAATTATTTCTTGATTCACACTTACTTTAGTATCACAATTCAGTATGTTTTCCGTGAAATCTGCCACCAACTGAGCACCAACTGCAGATTTATCAAAATATAATCATTAAAACTAAAACAATTTATTACACTCTGAGAAGAATCTGTCTGTCTACAGTCCAAGTCTGAGTCATCATTCCTCTGTTTTCTCCAGGTAAGTATGAAATAACTTATGTAATACACAGGTGTGTTACTATAAAGCTGTATACTGATACGCCTTTCACAAGTCTTAAAGTCTCCAATGTATTAAGTAGAATATTATGGCAAATTAATTGCTTCAGTTGCGCATTTACGTCTTACTCCTCCAGCTAACTTCACATTATAAATTACTTCTTTAATAATACTCCATATTCACTCAATCGATAAATTCTTAATGATTAAAGAATATAGCAATTAGTGACCTCTGTAAAATGAATAATAAATGACACTGAGAGTTTACACAATATGTTATTAAATATGCTTGTCAAATATATAAGTGATGGTGTGAATACTCCACAAATGGCAATAAAGAAATCACATCAAGGGAAATCAGATTATAATTCATTGGTAATTAATAATATATGGTTGTATAATTGGAGAAAATATAATTGTGTTTGCATGGCACTGGAGATCAAATGTTTTCATTAATTCTAAGTGCACTTGTAAGTCAATCCCAATGCAGTTTTAATGTAAAGGAGCATATAGGATTTCCAAAGGATTATTTAAAGTGACAATTCAATATAGATTGCATAACAGGGGAATAATTTAGATTACAAGTACAACTTAATGCGCTTTCAGAGCATTTTCATTTATTGAATTTCATCTCAATACATCGCCTTTCAAGGATGCCTGGACTGTAAGCTCAGTATAATATCTTGAAATCCTGGCACAAGTAAATATCTCTTTTACTGACAGTATCATTGTAGGTTCGATCCCCACTGGGGTGGACTGGCTTTTTCACATCAGCCCTTAGCACAGGATTTCATTTTGTGTTTTCTTTAACTTTAACTAAAAACTAGCTACAAATTATACAAATATATTCATGCACTATCTAGAAAATGGCAACTCCAAGGAGAAAAATCCTAATGAACAAATTATATTATGGATACTGCACTCCTGGTATTTTTTCCGTGTGCTTTGGTAAAATCACATTACCACAATCGCAAAAATAATTTTTGCAACAATGTCAATTAAATCCTTCTAGGGATTTGCTAATTTTGCTTACACCAAAAAGCAAGAAATATATGTAAAATTGATGCAATTTCTGGCTTAAGTGCAAAAATTTCAAACATAAATATATATTACTTTGGAAGAAAAAAACTAGATAATCTAGAAAAATTCCAAATAAGGTGACCATTTTTGATTTTACGAGGCTTGAATCAGAAAACTGATAAACATTTGGAATCACCAAAGTCATACTTCGGAGAGATTTAAAAATTAATTAAAAAATTCTTCTTTCTCAATCCCAATGGATGGATGGATTTAAACATTAAATAGGATGCATTGCTCATTTATCCAGTAGGCTGCCATCTTTTAAGATTTCACATAGCATTTCATTGACAGACATAGACATCTATTAACAGATAGGAAAAGAAAATAGCACAATACCACCTATAGACAATTGGTTCTTAGTTTCTGTACAAAAACGTTTCAGGGCTTGTCAACTTAAAATATACGAGAATATCTATCCTTCAAAACACAGACATACTTTTGATCTATCCCTACATAAGAAAGGCGTTTAAGGTATAATTGTGTTCTACGCCTGCTATACCTGTCTGCTATGCTTATATGTCCAGTCCGTTTCAGTAAACTATTTCATCAAAAATTAAATTTTTCTCGATCTCCAGCAGACTTGATTTGAGATTTTTTATCTGACTGATTTGTGAACTTACTTCATTGTAGCATCAAATTTAGAGTTTGGTGCTGAGCGTACATGACTGGATCTATTCAAAGGCTGTAAAGATCCTGGAAGGGCTGTGTGCCTAATCCCTCTCTGCCCTGCCTTGTGCAGTTGTCGCATGGCATACATCTCAGGGGCAGTATAGGCACAATCTGCAAACAAATAAATAAATATGTATTCAGCATTCAAAGAATTATTTGGTAATTTCACATTAATTAGATGTACATTGTATATACATGTACAGCAGATAATTGTTATTTGGCATTTTACAGTTAGTTACACATTCTCAGTATATAAGACATAATTATCTATCAGTCTATATAAAATAAAAATGTCAATTAAAGTGCCAGACAAGTCTGACCCAATCTTCCTTTTAAAGAGTATATCAGTTTAAAAAAATAAATGCTCATGTATGTATGTACTTGAAATATTTCTATAAAATGAAGCCCAAAGTATAAATGTGAATTTCTAGAACATTAGAATGCATAAAAAAGTCCACAAAAAGTTCATAAGTGTTAATAAATGTCTAAATATCAGCATAAGTCTAGTAATTCCTCTTCTCCAAAGTTCATCACTCATTCCTCATTCCCTACTGGTTGGCAAGAGCGCCATCGCTTCACTGGCTTCTTCTTAGTCTTACGCCAAACCTCTTTCTCTTTGGAAAATGTTTGACTTATCTCCTCTGCTTAGGCCCTCCTCTTTGCTATTTTTTTTTATATACAATCTGATTTTTTATTTTATTTTGGCTCGCCTTCTGGCATTTTTCGCTTTTTGTTATTCCTTGACTGATGCATATTTCCTAGGAGACTCAACTGGTATTTCAAGAGACATGAGGGGACAGGTCTAAATGATGGGGAGTCTGTTGAAGTTTGGACATTATGGTCAATGGTTGGAGCATGACAAACATCAGTTCAGGGACTGTGATCGATTACCTACCAAACAGCAGTTCAGCTGATGTGAACTTACTTTCATGGACCAAGTTAGGGATGGGAGCAGCGACTAATATCCATCCCAGTCTCTGTGGTGCTTATCTCCTAGTTTGGAAAGGATATTCTAAATGGTCCTGTTCTTTCTTTCAAGCATACCATCACTTTCGGGCATATATGGACAGGTTCTAGTCTTATCGATATTAAGTGACTTGCTGATTTCTTGGAATAGATGACTCTCAAATTGTGACCCTTGGTCGCTGTGAAGTCGTAGGGAGCACCATACATGTATCTGCATATGAACCCACGAAGTACTATATCAGCTACTGTCCTGGGCTCCATATTTGGCATTGAAATAATTTTTTGAAATTTTTTTAACTTTCAAACTGATTGTTCAATTTATAGTGATTTCAAATACTTGTCCTACCTTCATGCCTCGACATTGGGCTGACAGCAGGGGATGATGTCATACTCAGAGGTGAAAATTTCCCCTCCTTTTCTCGTTTTTTCTTTGGCTGAATCATATCTACAATAAATAAAAAAGTGTTGTGTTGATATATGTTATATAGTCCAACACAATTTATCTATACAGGCCCGTGGCCAGAGGGGGAGATTCGGGGATTCGAGCGAACTCCCTCCTACCAAAAATTCTATCAAAATCAAAGTTGTCAAAAGTGAACCTCCCTGGAATTTTTTTATGAACAAATAGTTTGGAAGACAATATAAACTAGAAAATGGCAACTCTACGGAGTAGCAAATCCCAACGAACACTATATAAATCATCAATCTGTACAGTCACAATGTAATATCTACTCTTACCATCTACTCTTACCTTCAATAAATATTTTAAATCATTGTAGTATCGGTAATGGTGAAATTTCTGCTCTAGTCAGCCATTTTGAATTTTCAGAGGCGCAAATCAAAAAAACAATGCCATAATTGTGATCAACTCTGAAATTCCTTCAATTTGAGTATAATATAGCCATACTTTTAAGAGATCAGAAAATAATTGCAAAATCCTGCATTAGGCGGCCATTTTGAATTTTTTGAGGCCCGAATCAGAAAAACGCTACAATATTTGCAATCTTCTCTAAATTGCCTTTCATTTGAGTATAATAAAGCTATACTTCAAAAACATCTCAAAATTAACGCAAATTCCAGTTTTTCCAATCCCCCATTTATGGCCCCTGAGGGTCAGGGTGAAAAACCCGGGATATATGTGAAATAGATAGATGTTGTTAATATACTACCAAAATTTCAAATAAAAATGTTTATTATTTTGGTTTAAAATGAAAAACATAAAATTTTTGCGAAAATTTTTTTTTGAATAAAACTATTCACCAATATACATCTTTCTACCAGATATGAAGAAAATCTGTCTGACTGACAGACTGATGGACTGACGGACAGATGGAGGGCTTCACTATATCCCTACAGAACTTCGTTCGTTGGGATAATTATATATCTGCTTTATATGGGCTTATTAGCCTCTTGCAGATTATTGACATAGACAACAGAAACGTCGATTTAATACTATTTACTATTGTTACGTAACAGAACATGTTGGACGAGCAGATCTTACTGTTTTTTGAAGTTACACTTACGTAACAAACACGAAACGTTTCAGTAACCAGTGTAATTGAGTGCACCACCAGTGCTAAAGCCATTAGCCACACTGTGGCTAGTATGTATCCAACAGACTGACAGAAGTCAGTCTGTTATGATATACTACTTTCCTGTGGAAATTGCAGTGAAATTTTTTGCACAAAATTATCAATTAGAGGAACCATTTCTTCAATAAAATAAGCATTACAAAATTTCAATTAAGTAGTAAGGTACAATTAAATGCAATAAAAAGTAACACAGCATATTGTCAAGTGGAAATAAGGCTAGTTGAAGTAAAAATGTGCAAATTAATTTTACCAAATCGGCCATTTTGAATAGCACTTCCTATGTAAACAAATATTACAAATTACCAATCTTTAACATAGGTGCCTTATAGTCTGAATATAATTCAGACTAAATAGGATATAGTCTAACACTGTGGCTTACTCACGTCGAGAGCTACCATGTTAGATTTTGAAAGTATAGCTCTCCATCGTGAGGATCTCCCAGCTGAAGAATTGTGACATCTAAATTTGATCAGCGCCAGTCAGCGGCTTGCTGTTTGTCTCAAACTGTAGCCTACATAGAGTTAAAGTTCGAGTTAAAGTTTTACAGACCTATTTCCAATATGGCGGTTTGCTAGGTGCGAGATACGCAACGAACGAAATGAATTTTGAGAATTAGTTAGGTTCGGACAACCTCCGGAGATTTACGAAAATGTCCGAGCAGAAACCGCCATATTGGAATTTGGCAGTAAAACGATTCCGTCGACTAACAATTACAAGTCTTGATCGAAAAAGAAGTACTCCAGCACTCCAATACTTACACGGATTGATGATACTGATGTAAGACACAGTTAGAGACCAAAAGTAAGCCGCGGATCGACTTAATTCGATTTCAAAGGTCACGATCATTGAGCTGTCCAAATGCTCCGTGGGAAAGCTATTATATCAAAATCCAAATAGCTTTCGCAGGAAGTATTATAGATTCTAATTGAAAGCCCATGGTCTAATTCTAGCCACAGACTCGAGTAAAGCGAGACGTACAGAATTGGTATTTTAGCATGAAGTAGACGTGTTGAACTTCAGTACCACTACAACTTAACTAGAACTACATACCCTTGATTTATAGGCCTACATGCTGTTGTGGAGACTGTAAATTTTTACACGACGATCGAATCGATATCCGATGATAAAATTCTTCCTCTTGATAGATACCTACTAAGTGTCCGTGTGGCACTATTGGCAATATAATGCTGTCTTTTGGCACTTGTGAAATTACCTAAATAGCCTACTTATATCAGCTATTTATAAGAGAAGCGATTGAAGAGAGAGTTGAAGCGAGTGTTTATCGTTGTCGTTATTGGCAAGGGTCAAGGTCTTAAATGAATTGTATCTATATTTCAAACTTAAACATCTTATGTGAAAATATTGAAACGAAAATACTATAATTAATAATATCACAGTTTATCACATCTCCCTTCAAGCTTTAAAAAGTATGGTAACCAGGACTAATCGTAGACTATCATATTTTAGGATAGTCTCAGATGGAATATTTGGCCAGGCCATGGGGAGTCACTCGCCTCTATGGGCCTAGGAAAACATTTAGTGCAACAAAAATTGTTGGGCATTCGGAAATGGGGCTGTTTGGGCATAAATATGCTGTTCATGCATTTTAAAACAGGAACTTGTAGCACTATCTATATTGCTTATCATCAGATATATTGACTCATATCTGACATATAAGCATGCATCTCATAACAGTGCTAGACACAGGCAAAAAGATAATACTGAATTCTGTTGGTGCTGCCATCTTTATATCGGCCCAGAACCTATGGTGCTACACGTTCCAATGCCTTTTTAGGCCCAATGTAAATGGGCTTAATTTTCGAAATTTTGACCCAATATTTGATTTTTAGTGCCCGCTTATTTTTTCCTATTCCCAATTACCGATAAAATGCTTTTTATTTGAAAGGGGCCTCTTTATGATTGAATTTTTATTTACATAACCAGTAATGAAAATACTTATGATAGGCCTAAAAGTGAAAATGTAACTTGACTTCATTTCCAATGCCTCTAAATTTTCCCAATTTTTCTCAATTGATCGGAAATGGATTTTAAAAGAGGAGGGAAAGTATCGCAACAGATTAAAGGAACCCTTTAAAAGAATAAGTAATTCCTCTTCGATAAAGTGGAAACAATATTTCCCATGTTATTTTCCCAAAGGGAAAACTCATGCGATCCATTTCTTTCAGCTAATTTTGGTCACCCATAATGGATATCTTTAAAAAACCCGGAGGAATTATATATTCTTTTATGTTATGTTATGTTATTTTATTTACCATCTTTAGAAAGATGATGAGTAAGCCTACATATAAATATGTTCCAAAAATAAATAAAATTAAAAGTATGCCGAAAATACTACAAGTTATAATAGGTATGTTAGATGAGCAAATTAACATGCGCATATGTCATTGCATGCTATTATTTACAATGATTTAAGTAAGAAGGTAATTCCTTCTTTTGTGCATTTCATATATCGTGTCCAGCAATGGAAGCATTATTTCAGAATCATATTCAATCCCTCCACCGAAAATGAAACATACGAATTTACAAAGGTTGTTGACTCCTAGTTTATATAATTGTATCCTATATCTATATAAGCTTACGCTGGGCACGATAGTAATACATGCTGTACGTCTCCAGTGACATTTAAATTGCACATTAAACATACCTCGTTCAGACATTTGTTGTCCGTAATTACCTACCATGTATGTTCCTGATATCATTTTCATTATAACTTTACATTGTGCGGGTAAGCGTCTTGGAAAGCGCCTGGCAACTTCCCACCATAAAAATGGTTTTAAAACAGTGAAACATCTCAATATTGGTCTCAGCGTTGGATACAAGGAGCTAAGAACGAAAAAACGTCTTGTCTCAAACGACTTGACAACATTCATGACTTTTCTCTTCCAGACACATTTGAGTGGTGTCTTAGCAGTAGTTATCATATTCAAAACGTCACCATGTACACTGCTACCCCTGCTACCCACCTAGTTACACAGACGTATCGTCGGTGTATCATGGCTGAACTACTTCCGGGATTTGAATTTGGTAAGATATTTTTATTTCTCGATTTACATCTACTTATAAGTCACGATGTGGATTATAATTTGGCTCGAAGTTATGGGAGATAGTCTAGTTTGGTTGGTATGTTAACGAAGACGCATTTCACATATTTAGTCCCTCGCTTTTGTTACACTGACGATCGGCATTAATATTGCCAATATTACACTGATATTGGTCGTTCGTCAGTGTAACAAAAGCGAGGGACTAAATACGTGAATTGTGTCTTCGTTATCATATAAAACCTAAAACCATCGACACATTCTCAAACAAGACTATCTTCCTTAACTTCGAGCCAAATTATTATCCACAACGTGACTTATCAGTAGGTGTAAATCGGGAAATAAAAAAATCTTACCGAAACCTAGTCCCGGAAGTAGTTCCGCCATGATACACTGGCGATACGTCTGTGTAACTAGGTGGGTAGCAGTGATGTAGGTCGTATTTCGTATTTATTTTACTGTTCGAACAAGAGGTAAAGAAGTGTCAGATCTACTGTACATTATCACTGGTAAGTATCAAGCGAAGGTTACGGCCGTCACCTTCGCATTTAAGATGGCGGACAGGAAGTATTTATTTCGATATTTTCAGTTTTCATGGAATTAACTATTTGAAAGTTGACGTAATGCTTTGATATCATTTGAACTAAACCAAGCTTTTCTCATATGACTAACAAAGATAGCCTAGAGCCATCTTCACCCCATGCAAGATATTGCATCTTTCATCCTAAAAAGTCACACGTGCAAGATGAGATTTAGTTGTGACATCACTTGTTTAAAAACATCAATAATATAGCAACAAATATACTGAGTTTTTGGTTTCATGATCCTTACCATATCATACATTTCCATTAACCTTCCATTAAGCGTCACCGTACAGCTGATGCGTCGCCGCACAAATCTGATCTTTTTTAAATAGCCTACACACAATGAATGGTTATTTGCTGAATCTTCGCCCGTTCTAAAATGTGTAAGTAACAAATACATATTCTCATAAAAATAATCCATTCTCTCAGACTGTAGGAAAAATAATAACCAAACGAAATGTGGAAAAATCACTTTGGTCGATTATGTGGGCCGATTCACTCAGGAAAAATCCGGACAGTGCTCGTAAAACTTTTATTATGTTTAAAACCATTTCTAAGAGAATGCTGTTTTTATTTCACATGAAATCGTATTTGTTTTCATCAAATTAATTTTTCAAAACCTTTGCCATAGTTTTTTGCTTCAAAGCAGTCAATTTGCGTCACCGTACAGAAAACTGTACTCCGCTATTTTTTGACGCTGTGTTGAGACGATGGTTAGGCGTGTATGTACAAAATAGCCAGCCACTCATTTAGCACACCATTGGAAATCCCACCTCGTCTTCCTTCTCATTCTTTCGCGTAAGTGAACGCATGGGACTTTACAGAAATAATATCATACCTGCCATGTTATTTTCTGGTACACAGTGAAGAATGATGACATTTGTGTAGTTCCTTATTTTTTCTGGAAAATATGTCCTTGTATCTTGTTCAAGTGAATTATAAAAGAATTGAAGGCGGGATTGAACGCAATTCATTGTTACATGTAACTTGGAGAAGATTTCGAAAATTGAAAAGGTGGTATATTTTAAATGTTTTCTTGAAACATCAGCATTTCCTGGAGTTGTGTCATTGGTCTCTTACCAGGTTTACTAAAATGAGATAATGCAAGGATACTTTGCTGAAAAAGCAAAAGATACCCACATACCTTTTTATACCATGCAGAAAATAGCATCGTGAGTAAATGCAGTTTTTTCAAAAATGTTTCCTTGAACTGTACCTCGTTAGGAAACGAAAATAGTAAACAAGCAATACAACGTACACGCACGTTTTTGCTACGATTTGATAAAATGACATACAGTACACAGTTGGAAAGCTTTTCTCGCCTTTTTAATCTCCTTTTCAGAAGAGTTGATTCAGACGCCCAGGGACTAAGAAATTAGTGTAACGCGGAAAATTTTAATAGTAGACAACAAAATATTAACGACGATAGATGTTTTTGTCAATAATTTGAAATATCCAGCCACACATACATCACGGCATTGGAAAGCTTATGCCCGTCTTTAATCTCTTTTAGAAGAATCGTACGTTCGTTAATATTTAAGCCTATATAGTTCTCTTCAATCTGATTTATACGAAAATTAAACTCATGTGACTTATAAAAGAATGCGCACACAACTAGAGAAAAATGTTTGGCATTATGTAATTTATTGTTCTACTCTAGGCTAACTAATAACAACAAAATTACAGGAAAATTGATTCATAGAATGAAATGAATCAATTACCCCCACCATCCGGAGAGGTTACATTGCATCGAAAGAACAAACCATGTATGAATTATGGCACCGTGGTGGGGGGGAGGGAGCCAAAAAATTACAAGCAATATAGCATTATAACTAGCACATGTTGTCCGCTGCAAGGACAGTAGCAGAATAAGCAGATAACAGCCAGACACAAGAATTTTACATAACAGTTGAAGCATGCAGGAAACATATGTTGACCTGGTGATGACCCAGGCTGTCTTGAGAAACAGTGCCGTGGCGTAATGGCAGCCTTCTGCCTAGGGGGTACTCCAAGTTCCTTTGATATGCCCATAAGCAGTGTGTCTAAGGGCCAGTTGCTTTGAAGTGGATTTGGTAAACCCATTTCTAAGTGTAATATCCTGATAATGTTAAGATATAATTTAATTGATGATGGTCTAATGTGGTCACTAAGAAATGCCACATAACGAAGCAAATTAGACTGTGAAACAGGTGCTGGTGAATATCCCATTAACTTGCAGAAGTCTAGATATTTAGCAAGATGTGCTGCATAAGTGCGCTTGGTGTTGTCTGTGTAGGTATATCCCCTAAGCTCTATGATTTTCCTGTCCAGGCTATTTTCCAGCTGTGCCACTCTTTGATCTGAGGAAGAAGAAAAAGCATGGACTTTAGAGTCATATGGTGATGAAGAATCATTGCAGATAACTCTGAATTAGGGAAAATTCCTGGATACAAAATAGCCTCTAATGTTAGAAAGTTTTTGGGCTCATTTAGTCTGGAAATTACATCTGGTAGAATATTGAGTTTCCCTGGGACATGAACGGCTCGAAGGTCAAAGTTATACTGAACAGATATCCAAAACATATGTCTCAATATTTCCATTATACCAGGATGTTTTGTTGTACCCCGATTAACAATAGTCATGGCCACTGTAGAGTCAGTATGAATCAGAATGCGTT